CGAACTAATATAACGTTGTATGATGAGTTTTTGTTTGTATCATGGAGCAAAAATATGTTCAAATTTCATGTCGTATCCTGAAAATTTTGTATGCTGGGGTGTTCATATCCTGAGGTATCACTGTACATGTAAACTGATATTGTGTGCTTTTTAAAAATAAAGACTTCCTAAGTCATAAATCCAACTTCTGGTACTTGAATTCATGATATATGCTTTTAAACTGTTGACACAGATTAGGACATATTTGTCCCATGCCTTATATACAGTAAATTTTCATTTAAAAAAAAATAACTTTCAAAACTACAGTACATAGACCACATTTAATTTACTTTTGCAAAAAACTTCTAAATTTTTCATTAATTACAATTCTGCTTCAAAGGATTAAGGATTTTATTTTTAAGTGCAAAAAGGGACTACTACTGTATAACACTTACATAGTAGAATTAAAAGTAAACTAAACTTTTAATTTAACTCTTATTATATTAATAGTAGAAGTATTTACAGAAGAGCATCTTCTGCAGCTACACACTTCTACCAACATTCATATCATTTATTCAGCCTGGTTTATATTATATAACTCCTTACCAACAATTGTCATAGCATTTTTCATCTCTTCTGTTGATTTGAATCTGTGACTCTTCAGTAGAGTTTTCATTTTGGTGAAGATATGAATGTCTGAAGAAGTATGGTCTTGTTAGAAGGTTACCAGAAGTACTGTATTGCCAGATAATCACTGACTAAGAGAACATAATGTACTTGGGTATTGCCATGATACAGAACCCAGCTTTCTGCTTGTTAGAGATGAAGCCATTTTCATCATACTATATCACAGAGGCAATTGAGAATGTTAATATAAGACTCCTGTTAATCAGTATAACATCAGGAACAAACTTATAAAGCATCAGGCCTTTCACACAAAAAACAAGTTACAATGACATGAAAAAATGCTATGATGATTGCCCTCAAGAAAGTAATGAGAAATAAGCTGCAAGACTGTTTCAAGAGGTATAAACATTGGCAAAAGTATGTACTGCAGAAGGTACATACTTTTGAGGAATTACTTTCAGAAGTATTCTATAACTATTTGTACTGTTAATCTATTAATAAAAGTTTATTTATTTTTGACTCTATCATATACGGAAAAACAATGCTGAGTGGACAGAAGTTTTGTAAAAAGAAAGTATACATAAACAATTTTTACATATTATTCTATAAAGTAACAACATATAAAAAGTTAACATGAATGTTTCACAGAAGTTATGATGAATAAATTTTTAAATATTTATACCAAAAAATTTTATCTTTTAAATACTACTATAATTTTCAAGTATGACTTCTTCAGAAAATATAATAATAATAATTAAACATGATTAAAGTATTCAATGAATAAATATTTTGATTGGTTTGGGTAAAATTTACTTTATAATAACTCAAAAACACTTTTATTCATATATTATTATAATGGAGAAGAATCTCAGTGTTCTATATTCAGATATCTTACAATTATCAAATGGAGACATTTTACATCAAAAGCATTAAAATATTTTAATAATTAATAAAAGATAACCTATTACAGCAGAACCTGTTAATTTGATTTGGTCAGGGAAAAAATTCAGACTTTAAGTTAAAAGGTTTCGAGGAATTCAAGTTAACCAGTTTGATTTGACATGTTAAGCTAGATGATTGGGAAAAGAAAATTACTTCAAGTAAACATGACTTCAAGTTATCCAGGTTCCACTGTATATCTTTCTGTTAATGTAATATTTTTTAAAACATGCTTTGATGATTCTTTCTGAAGTTAATAATTTTAATATTAAAAAAAAAAAAATTCTAAATTTTTAAATTTTTGAAGAAAATCAAGTACAGTGAAACTTCTCTACAACAGATACTTGTGAGAATGAAAAACTGTTCATTATAGAAAAGTCCACCCAACAAAGGTTTTGTGAAAATTACCCTTAAATGAAGCATCTTTAAATGTAGTCTGCAATACATTATGAACATATAATGCACAAAGTAGTAATATGATGCATTACAGTAAGTGATGAATCATCATAAGCAGGCCAGTATTATTTTTTTAAAAACTTTAGTTATGTTTGTTTTCTTCAAATTGATTGCAATCTGCTTCTCATTATGCATAATTAAATCTTGTGCTAGCTTTGTACTATCAACATCATTTATACTGATATAAAATTATTTGAGTATGTTTGCATAGTCCAGGGACCGCAAATAAACTCAACTAATATTTGGGTATGTCCATACAGGTGTCTTTGTAGCAAGTGTCATTTTTACTATGAAGACATTGCCATCATTATCATCTTTACTCTCCCTTTCTTAAATCTCAAAAAGTAACTGAAGAGTTACTTTCGTATCTTGGCTTGTGCACTCAAATTGGGATGTCAGAATCAATGTCAACATAATGGTTTGCAGTAATGATGGTAAATCCTGCTGTATTCATAAGTCATTGAGTTGCTTTGTCAGCATCTTAAGCAATTCTTTACAATCTACATTTTTGCATTTATGTGTTTCAAAATCATTTGTGTATACTTGACCTTAACCTTAAATTTTTAATTATGCAAAAATCCAAAAGTTGAGAGAATGAAATGACATTTACAGAGCTTTTGTATATTCCTATTTTTATGCATTAAATTTAATATTTCCACAATTTTGATTTGCAACATTTTCACTGACAGCAATCTGTAACTCAGTGAAATTTGATGTTGCGGGTAGCAGTATGTTGTATCTGGTGTATGAGAATATGAAATTGCAAATACAAAATACTATATGACATAGTGGCCAACAACAGAACCAAAGTTTGACTGCCCTCTATTGAGTAAATGTTAATTAAGATGTGTGTGACTTGAACAAGTACAGGCTTATGAATTGGCTCTGTAGTTGTAACCTCATCAACAGGTAGACAGGCATGATTCTTATCAAAGCTGCCAGATGGGCATAAAGATGCCTAGATTTCTAAATTCTAGGCTAAAAATGACAAGCTTAGATGTACACAAATTTGCAATTGTGGGGAAATTCTGGACAAATTTTCACTTTTCCAAAAAAAAAAAAAAAGGTTAAAATTGCAAAAATTAACATATAGTCAACTCATAATAATACAAATTGCTAGAGAGAGTATTTTTCTTTATTGAGAATTCATATTTATGATTTTTAAGGTCAAGGTTAAAAAATAACTTTAGAGAGAGAAGGATTAATAGGCAATTTTAATATTTTTAATTAATTTACTAAAATTTTCCAAAATTAAATTTATTTTTGTAAATAAATTTAATTTTAATTTTCAAATCAAACAAAATGAAGAGGAGATGGTATTTGTCCTTTAAGGGTGGAGCAGCATATCAGAGTGATTAAACAAAACAAAACTAAAAGAAATCCATAATTTTTTTCTGTTGAAGGTTTTTTGAAAAAATGTAATATAGTTTTTGCTGCTAAAAGAAAGAAAGAAAAAAAAGGACCAAATTTGAAACAAAGTTGCCAAACTTATCAGGGTACATCAGTGCATCACTGCATTCCTGATATGTAAACTGAAATGTGTTTGCATGGGACTTCATCCATTTAAAAAGACAATGTCCTTAAACTTCAACTCCTATTTTCTGAGTACAGTAGAATGGTCTACTAAAACCAGATGTTTGAATTGCTCTACAATGGAAGGTTTAACCAGTCTTTACTTACTACGAGAAGAAAGTCTATTCTACTAAAACTAGAACATTTATTACAGTACCATTTTGCTTTTTATACTTTTCTCTGTGAATAATAAAATCATTATTGAAAATAGGGTTATTTCTTAGGAGTTGCAAAGGTAATTTAGTTTGGTTTATGGAATTCTGGTAAAATTTTTGTTCACTATCATATGAAAATTAGCAATGTGACAATGGCATTTTGCCAGGGCATTGACAAAATTTACTTTATCAGTGTTCATTTAAGGTGAGTTGACTATAAATATGAGAATTTAGTCAAAAATTTTCCAAAATTTAATGCAAAATGGGTGTAAAAAAAATTTTTGGGTGTAGGACAATGAAAATATCTGGCTACCCTGAGTCTTATTTATAAGTATGTAAAGTACAAGTACTGTATTTCTTAACAGTTGTAATATCTGCAATATATTTGAACTTGTAACGTTGTACAAAGTACATGTGTTTTTCAAAACTGACATTATTCATGGATTACTTAAGTTGACTCACATTTACAAACTTAGCGAGTCACTACAATTCATAAAATTTTTAGGCTAGCTTATGCTCTGATTAGCAGTAGAAATATAATCATGGCATTTTCAAACTGTTTGAATGTGATGCAACATTGGTAAGAAACAAAAGCATTTTCCTGTTTAGTGCAACACTTTCCTGTTCAGTTGTTCCAGCTACTGTCATAATTTCTATCATCATTCAAACCTTTGATTTCCATTCAATTTCAAATTTTGTAATGTTTATATTCTTGAAACATCTTAGTTTGGTAGCCTTTCACAGAATTTTCTCACATTCTCCATTCATATTTGCTCATAGCAGAATTGTTAGTCATTCTTTTGTTATTTTACTATAGGAACATGATTCATTCAGAGGCCCAAAACTATTGTCCAGGAGAGTGAGATAAACAGTCCCTTTCATCTGTGTTCAAAATATTTTCTAGAAAATGAATGTAAAAATATTACATACTTTTTATATTGGACTAAAAGAATGTCCATCATGGAGGGGTGTCCATTTTAGAGAAATTTCATTTTACAATGTTTTGATTGATATTTAAATTCAACACCTGAAATATCCAAATACTTAAAAATAACTCCAAAAAATTTAAACTTCCAAAATATTCATAACAATGGTTTAAACATAATAATGTAAAAAATAAATTATATTAAAACACCAGTTACAAAAATACATTTTGAATTTTAAAATTATTATGTATAATTTTTAAATAATAAATTTCTTAAATTAATTATTTTAAATAATTTAAATTATTGCAAAAATAGTTATTAATTTTTAAATAAAAATTATATTTGTTTACCACTTGTCCAACTGTAAATGCTTGCTTTGGAAATTGCATAACAAAGTCCACAGCCATTTTATCTGTGTCATATGGTTCTTGAGTAGAACTATAAAAAAATTACATTAAATAATAAATTATGATTCAATCATTATGAAATATAATTATAATTTTATAATAAAAATTACAAATTTATAATTGATGAGTTTAAAAAACTATTTTATGTATGAAATATACAAAAATTACATTTAGATTTATTTTGTCATTTATTGTGTTTGTGACACAATAATTAAATTTAATCACAGAATGCCAAAAGAAAAATTTCCAGTAGATGTAGATTTGTAATAAATCCAAATCTACATCTACTTAATCCTTTGATTTAAATGAGTCTTCCTGTATTTAATAAAAGTTATGTATCAATATAATAAAATACTGTATTTCTAATGATTAACCTCTTCTCGGACTTTTTTTTTAAAGGTTACTGTCCAAAAAGTGTCAATTTATTTTATTATTATTAATTAATATTTAATAAATCTTGTTGCAAAATATGCTAAAAATTATTGTGTTGATGCATTTTTATAAGTATAAACAAATTTTCATCAGCACTCATACCCCTGTAAATTCTATTTTCCTGCATAAAAATAATTTAGTAATCTTGAAAATAAAATAATATATTTTTATTTAAAAATTTTAATTTTATGATTTTTTTTAGCAAAATGTGAAACTATATATTATAGTATGGGAAATTATAGAATTTTTGTCTCATAGCAGCAAACATTTTTCAGTAGTTTTCAAATATAAATTATGCAAATGAACATAGCACATTTTTTTACCCAATGATACTATCATTGGGTAAAAACAGTTCATAATATTAAAAATGAGAAACCAGAATGTAATGACTATAATCAATAAAATTTGAGAATTATGGGAACAAATAAATCTTACACATACAGCTTTTATATGTAAATACATATGAAAATGATAAATTATTAACTACTGTTCATCATCATAAAAAATTTCACTTTTATAATAATAAATGCCATTGAGACTTTGTTTTTGTGAGTATATAATAACTTAATGCAATAAAAAAAATAATAAGTGGTATTAAATATTTATTATTTTTAAAATAGCTAAGTATTAGATAATTATTATGAGACAAAATTGCAAAATCAAGATATATAATAAATAAAAGAACAAATTTGTACCATACTAACAACTGTAATTATTAATTAATATGATAAAAATAGATAAAACATACATACTTCTTTTTTTCTAGAAAATCTACTTCCAAAACAATCTTAGCCACATATTGGTTATTTGGATTAAATGTATATTGTCTGACTTCTATTGTTTGATTAATGGATAGTTCTGCCCATTTTCTCTGTAATAAATCATTTACAAGAATATTAATAAATATCATAAAATTTTTAAATGCATTGAAAAAATTTATTAATATCTATAACAGCAAAATAGTAAATAATCTGTAAAGCTTTGTAAGTGTAATATTAAATACTATTGGATTATTCAAGAAATTCAAGTTAAGCAAGACATTATTATTCAGGAATTATATTCCCAATGTTTTGCTTTGTATTTTAAATTTTTCACCTTTTGTTTTAAATTATTATTATTAATTAAAAACTATCTATGCATTGTTTATTTTTATATATGTGTATTATTTTACATAAGAAATTAGAAGTTAGAAAGAAATTTGTAAGTCTGATAATATTAATCAAAAATAAAAATTTTTTTCTCTTGCTTAAGATATTTCATAAATTTAAGAATTTTCAATTACCAATTTAGTGGTATCAATTGTTTAATTATTCATTCTAACTTTCAAAATATAGATATAAAAAACTTTGAATTTCAATTTAAGGTTAGAAAATACAGGTAACCCCCGTATAACATGGCACTTCTATAGCACGGTTTCACTCTAACACGGTTCGAGAATTGGTACCATCCCCATATAACACGGTACTCTGAGCACGGATTCACTCTGACATGGTTCGAGAATTGGGTAAAACCCTCGTACAACGTGAAATGTAATAAATTTTTACATACTTTAGTAATAATAGTTCACAAAAATTATTATTTTCGTGAACTGTTAGTATACTTAAGTATGTAAATTTTCTTTTCTTGTCTTCTGTCGATACACATGGTCCTTCTCGAAACTTGTTTCAATGTTGCCAGATCTCGACGCTTCCGCTTCTGATGTTGCCAGATGGTTTTTCCCTTATTCCATACTTGCTTTATTCTTTATAAGTGCTTAGCACCATATAAGGAAATTTATAAAGATCTTTTAACTAGCAGCAAGCAATCTAAAATTACATACTTTTTGCAAAAGGTAAAGCATGAATCTGAAGATAATGCAGAAAAAATGCTCAGAGGATAAGGATAACTTGCCAAAGAGAAAACGCTCTCGGTTAATAGTGCTTTTAGTGATGACGAAGAGAACCTTGTTTAATTTATATTAATATGTATCACTTAAGAAAATTTTAATAAAGAAAATTTTAATAAAGATATTTATCTTAATTATGAAAATATAATAGCATATTTTTTAGTTTTTGGAACCTAACCCTCCTTTTCGTACTAGTTCTTTGTTTCGTATAACACGGATTCGCATAACACAGCAATTTTTTAGAACGTAACTATGGGGGTTACCTGTAATAAGTTTTCTAATAAATCTTGTAAATTAGAATTGTTTCAATTCCAATATAAACTTCATACTTATAAAACTTGCATTTATTCATTATTACTGTTATCTAAATAATGGAATTAACAAGTGTACTGAAGATCAGTTAGTTCAGAACCAAACCAATCATCATATGGTAACTTGATAATTTAAAAGAAAAAATTCAGGACTTCTATGAAATTTTAAAAGTAATTCATTTTATAATTAAGTTTCATAACTGCTGTATGTATGGCAATTTTTATCTTAGAATATGGTACATTAAAATTTGATTTTTTTTAAATTTTTCTACCTTATAGGCATTAAAAGAGCTCTTTTACATTTCCATTATGGGCTCAGCCAGATGAACAATAAAAATGGCATTAGTGAGAGACAGGACCCAACATACTAAAAAAAAGTCCAAAAAAATTCCTAAAGTTCTGGCATAGATTCAAACTTGGGTTTCCCAGAGTGGCAGAGTAATGCCTTTACTACTTTGGCCATCCAGCCATATTTTTCTTTCTTTGTTTATGAATAAATTGTTTAAAAAACTCTACCATTAAATTCATTATTAAGTAAATATGATAAATAAATCAGCAGTTAAAAAAAAAAAAAGAAAAAATATCACACATATATACACAAAAGATATTTTACACACATAAATATATACTTAAAAATTTTTTAAATATATTGTTCATAAATTTTAAAAATTATTTTTTTAAAAGAAACTGAAGATAAAAAAAAAAATTTTAATTTGAAAATATGATAAATTATTAGTAATAAACATACCATAGGGAGACTAAATCCAATAGTTCCAATAGGCATTTGATCAAAAGTTCTCAAAGTAAAAACATATTTGTGATTTGCAGCAGTTGTTATTTCAATATGCCTAAATAAAAAATAATTTATTAGTCTTCAAGACAGAAATTTAAAATTCAAATTTTCTGCTAATAATTACAATAACAATCATTTTTTACCATATAAATAAAAATATAAAATGTTTGTTCAGTTATATACACAATAAACAACAAAATAGCTAACATTTTGTTTATTAAATATATTCAAACTAAATTTATATTTTATGTAAAAATTTACTTAGCGATTAATTTTACACTTCAAAATATATTATTTTTAAGGAATTCATAATGTTTCTGCAGTATTATACAAATTACCACCTTTTTAAATACTCCAGAAAATAATTTAATATTGTAAAAATGTTTTTGATCATCTTTAATGATCTTCGTCAGTTAAACAATGAAGTAAAAAGAACATTAAAGAAATAGAACATAAATTAAACTTACGAAAAATAATAAGTGCACATGCATGTATAATGTTGTGCGCTTAGGGGAATAAATACAAAATAAAGATAGGGATATAAGAATATAAATAGCTCAACAGTTTCGCATTAAAAATTAATGTCTCCTAAAAATTACAGTTTATCTTCATAAAACAATTTCCATGCTGTGGACAGAGAGTCGGTGTCCCTATGATTGATACAAGATGTTTTTACTTGGGCTTTATAAATTTCAAGTTTTTCAAGAAGTTTGATGGAGTGCTTGTTAGACGTGGGTCTAATAATAGAAGCCTGGTCCCATATAACCTCAACTTCCTGTTGATTAGTGTAAGATGTTAAAACGGTGCTATCATTGTTTTTTCTAATAGAGTATTTATGTTCTTTGATTCTTTGTTCCAAGCTTCTCAAAGAAGCACCTACATAAACACTATCTGAATCAAAACGACAGTCTTTGATTGGTATGGAGTAAATGCTGGAGGTAGCGATCTGGTTGTCATTCTTTTTATCATTTTTCAGTAACTTGTATACTGTGGGATTACGGCGATATACAGTCCATAAATTATTGATGTTTGCAATATCATTCATCATTTTTCTTAAGAAACAATGATAGTTGATTACTGTCAGGTGTTTATTGTTAATTAAGGGAGACTGGTTAATTTTATTTTGAAAAGTTGCAATGAGTTTTTTTTATAAGATTCTTTTGGTAACCATTCTGCTGTGCTATTTGGATAATGTACTCCAATTCCTTCTAAGTATCAAGCATATTTGTGCAATGAGTAAAGGCTCATTTGATCCACGCTCAGAAAGCCATATATTTAAAGTGTCTAGGATCCATTGAATTATTTGGTATGGTATTGTTATTCAGGCCCGGTTTCCTGTAGATGTTAGTTCATATTTCACTTCCTTTGCATATGATATTAACATCAAGGAAATGGACATTAGTAAAGCTTTCTTGGTCCAGTTGCAACTTTAAACCATAGTTATTATTATTGATGTTATTTAAGAAAGCTAGAATGTTGAGATTATTTCTCCATAGAATGAATATGTCATCAATGTATCTAGTGTAAAGAATGACTTCTTTCTTGAATTTCGGTAATAAAGTTTTGAGTTCTTGAGTTTTTACAATATTAAATTATTTGCTGGAGTATTTAAAAAGGTGGTAATTTGTATAATTCTTTCTAATTCCAGTATAAGTTAATATTTTTATATTTCTGCAGAAGGTTGCAATAGATTATTGTACATTCTGCAGAAAAATTACTTACTTTCAAAATTAATAATTTTATAAAAATAAAAGAAAAAAGAAGAAACCATAAAATTAATTACAAGAATAATACTAAACAAAAATGCAATATTTTATTTCGAAATTATCAACAAATAATTTCATCTATGAGCACATTCTTAAATTTATGTAAATTACTTATAGTTTATAAAGATTTGTAATGTAAAACAGTTCTAAAAAATTAATAATAATCAAATTTTTCTTCATTACATACAATTTTTTCAATTGGCGATCATCGTATTCTATTATGCAATATTCCATACAAAATGTTGACTTTTAATATATTGTTTCTTATCAAAATAGAAGTTTTATTAGAGTTTATAATATAACATATATTAATCAATTATTATGCAATGTACAATCCTTTATCATAACTTATTTATTAATATATAAGTTATGATAAAACATCTTTTTTGTTCTACAGTCTATCAAAGTCCATGCAAAGTTAGATATTCCAATTCATTTATATTTTATATTTAAATGATTTCATGCTCCTGTTTATAAATATGTTCTGTTTTTGTTTGTCAATTTTCTTTGCTAACTTCAGTAGTTTATTAAAATAATCCTAAAATTATCATTGTTGACATAATCAACAAAGACTTCAGGTACCTTGTACTATACTTCAAATTTAATTTATTCCAGGAGGGCCATCAAACCCTGAATCATTTGAAGTTTCAATCAATTTTTACCATTACAAATAACAGAAAATGAATTAATCCATTCTCAACCCTAAACAATACCCATTTCAATAAACTTAAAATAGCAAATACACATACTTTAAGATAAAAATAGCACAATTAAATGCCCTAATAATAAATTAAAACATGAAAACAACAAATATGTAAATACTGTATAATAAAATGAAAATTAGCCACATGTAAACCCACTCATCAAAGTATTAACTATTAAACAATCCAAAATAATAAATTTTTCAGAACTTACCTGATTGTATCAGAAGGAAATTCTTTTTCATTGACAACTGCACAGTTTGAAAACGAAAGCTGATCTGTTGGGCAACGAGCTACTTTCATAGGCTAACAAAAGAAACAAAATACTTCAAATTTTGTAATAATATTACTAACAGATTTTATTCATTAATTCAGTTTTAAAAATATATATATTTTTTCTAATTATTAATTAATCTTATTGCAATTACTGACCAGTTATATTTTATTATAAAATGATAATTAATGTTATTTACTTAGAAGCATTCTGACAAGTGATATTAATAATATAAAAGTTGTCATGTGTGTGTGTGTATTCCTTATAACCCATGCAATTTTTGTCCAATCCAGATGAAATTTTGGTTATGTTTGTTTTATGTTCTGATGGAAAGGATAGGCTATTTATTTTGTGGAAATATTAGCTATGTAATAACTCATCACTCTTCATTGCTAGAAATTCAATTTTATCAATTTCAGATCAGTGATTGCACTTTTAAAGTGACATCATTTAGTTCATGCTCGATGATGAAATTTCCCTTAAGATGCATTTTAAACATTTTGGCAAATAGCAAATTTTAAACTTACTTCATTAAATTTAAAATTTAAATGTTAAAAATAGATAGCAGCATCGTGTCACTTCTATAACAAATTTTTAAAAAATCTTTCCTTAAAGACCATGTGACATTCTATTATCCAATAAATATATGTATTCTACAACCACTAACTGGCGTGAAAATTCCAAACTAATATTGACAAACGCTTTCGATGCCCCTCCTGGGCTCTTCTTCAGATTTAATGTACTGGATTCTTAATTCAAATATTTTTAAATAAGAACATGCTCAGTTACTAGAAGTTCAAATAAGGAAGGTAATCACGTGCCTTTCCGAATTATAATTTCTTTATAATTTATATTCGTGGAGATATGTTGTGCGCATCTTATAATAATCTTGCGTATTTTATAATCACATGCCATTTCTAAAAATAATTTTAACTAGTGGATATACGATGTGCACATCCCATAATAATCTGGTGTATCGTATACTAAATTACGATTCATCATCTAATAAATACTGCCAGGCTGTTGAGAAATTAATTTCTTCTTTAAGATTGATGCAGGTTAGTTTGCAATCTGCTTTGTAAATTTCCATCGCTTCCAAAGTTCTTAGATGTTCATGATGATGAGTGGTGCGGATGACCCGTGCCTCATTAAAAATCGGGGTTATGTCTGGGTTTGTTGCATATGTCGACAATGCTGTCGTATATTTGTTGTGGGGGATGTCTGCTTTATGTTCCTTTATTCTGGTGGCTAACGGACGCTTAGTGGACCCTATGTAAATTAGTTGTCTTTGCCATCTATCGTCTATTAAGGGAATGGTGTATATTCCCGGTAGCCTGTTCAGGTTATGGGCGTCTTTTCCATTTCTTAATAAATTATATATGGAAGGGTTTCTTCTGTATGTAATTTTAATTCCTTTTTTCTTTGCAATTGAATTATATATTGTTTTCATTTGTGGGTTTTACGTTACTGGGACCCTTTCCATATGTTCTTTATCATCTGCTCCTGATGTCTTTTCTTCATCTGTTTTACTGTTTATGTGAAGGCGCTGATTACATAATTTGTCTATTAAGTTGCCATAACCGTGGTCTTTAGCAAACATCTCTAATATACGCTAATTATTGCTGTAGAGCGTAGGACGTGGAAGAGTGGGAATAGGCCCTTTCTACCAAAGTCCTGAATGCTGCTATTTTGTAAGAGTATGGGTCACAGGAATTGATGGGTATGTATGATGGTATATTTGTGGGTTTTCTATAAACTTTTGTTTGTATTGTTCTTTCTTTAATTTCAATTTCTATATCCAAGAAGTGGATTTTTTTCTTCACTATGCTGCTCTAATTCCAAATAAAAGCCATAAGGGTTGTTGTTCATGGCTGTCTTAAATTGTCTTTGGTCTGGTGGTGTTTTCCAGAGAATTATAATGTCATCTATATACCTACCATACATGATTATATTTGAGTGAAAGAGTGGTAGGGTTTTGGTTTCTAATGCCCTAATTACCATTTTGCACAAGTTCCCTGATAATGGACTTCCCATGGGTACTCCTCTCTCTTGTGCATAAATGTTTCCTTTGAACTGGAATACCGAACTGTAACAGGCTAGAGGGCCCATTTCCAGTATATCTTGGTGCAGATTAGTATCCTTTATTTTTTCTATGAGGAAATCTCTTAGTGCACAAAAACAAGGTTGTATTTTTATCGAGAGGTATAATGATCTAAAATCCCATACTGTGGCGTATCCTGGCTTGTTTATGGTTTTGAGTTTTAATATCAATTCTTTTGGATTCGAGATATTGAATCGGTAGTTTACTAGATGTACAGACAGCATATTATGAAGAAATTTTTCAAGTTTGATGGTAGGAGCTCTTCCTTTGTCTACTATAGATCTTAGCTGTTGTCCTATTTTATGTGTTTTGGCAAAGGCGAAAAGTTTAGGTACGTCCGGAGCGTCCATAATGATGTTTTTCATATTTAGGTTCTTGGCTAGTTTGGTGTTGGCAACTCGTTTAACCCTCGCTTGCATTTTATCTACCCAGTTCGTTTCAACTTGTGTGCATTGTGTTTCTGATAAGTATTTTTCTAATTCTTTCTCGTAAGTTTCTTTCTTCATTAACACCATAACTCTGGTTTTATCCGCTCTGGTTACCACAATATCATTAGCTTTTATCCATTTGGAAGCTTGGCTTAATTTACGTTTGAGCTGTGAAATCTTTAGAATTATATATATATAAACATTGAACACACTTTTCTAGCTTTAATTAAAACAAACATTTTTAGAGGACTGATTGATAAGCCTTTGTCAGGTTTTTAAATAGAGATTTTATTTATATAACTTGACAAAACATGCCATTTGTGTATGTATGTATATATATATATATCTTTTTTAACAATCTGACAAAGCAACAATCTCTCAGTTCTTTAATGATAATGGAATCATTCCAACTAACATAAGTTTTGAGATCTAATGCCTATTGGGTGTTAGTAAATTATCATCTTTACCAATAAATCCTAAATGTTCTCTCATTCTCCTATTCAATAATCTAAAAGTAGAACCATTTTTCTACTTCTCAATGGCATCATCATCTTTACAAATATTTATCAGTGATAAATTAATATTGCACATAAACTTAAATCTCAACATTGCCAGATGCAACCAACATCGATGGAAATGTATTTTTTTAAATGATAATAAAACAACTTATTGTTTCTTCTCAATAAAAAAGATAAAAGATAAAGATAAATATTTCATTGTGCATAAGTCTCTTATGACTGTTGCACAAAAATTCATGCTAGATGTAAGACTATAGACACAGGTAAGTGAATATTCCAGCATGAGATTCTAACATGTGAGCAAATGTTATGATGTCAGATTATGGCATTTTTTTGCTTTTGATTCTCACTCTCACTAACATTGTCATGTAAACTGTGAATTTTCCCCTTTCATTTGAGACCGTATAAAGTCAATTGACAATAATGTTTACCATTTCTATTTCAATGAGTTTTTTTTATTGTTTACCCTATATTTCAGGATAAGCTATAACTGCATTATTAAGTTCTGTTTAAGAAAACTTTGATAATTTGCCTCCTTGTTCATACAGGCTGAAGAAGTCATGTTTGAATCATAAACAAACCAAAAATGAGGTAAAAGGATAATGTATAGTGAGAATTTCAAACTGCAATAAAAATCAAGCAGTATCGGAATCCATGAGTGTGATATTTTGTCCTGTGAGAGCGATTCTGTTACATGTGCATGGTTTTTGCTTTGCAAGAGCAATACTGTTACAAACTTTTCACTTGTTACTATTCTCATGTCTGCATGGTTGTAGCCTAATACCCCGTTCACACCGAGCATTTCAATCTAGATTGTGACCAAGGTCGGCGGCTATGCCTTGGTGCGACTTCTCTTGACCATTTCAATCTCAACTGAAACGAGATTCAATTGTGAATGACTCAAGAGAGTTCTTGAAACTAGATCCAGTCATAAGAGAGATCCCACAATCCCACCCACACGAGATAATAAAAGATGGCAGAACACATGTCGGGCTATTGACAGAGAAATAAAAAAAGATACTGTATTTGGAGAGATGATGACATCTGTCTATTATTAGATATATGACAAGAAAAAGTACCGTATTTATTTCTAACCAAAACTTCCATTTTGTTTGTTGGTGTTTGTGACTTATCGCATAGTTATGTCAGTTTTATCATCGCATTTAATAGCCGGGTTCTTCTCAAGTGGACTGCCTATGCGAACAGCATGACATTCGACTAGTGACAGTCACAATCCAGATTGTAGGTAAATCGAGATTGAAGTGATTGTGTGCGAATATAGTATTAGAGTTGACAAAAATGCTTTCTTTTCATCAAAGTGTATTATGTAGAACAATATTTTTGTTCTAGAAATTTTCTAGCTATTATTGTAGTTTGTCTGTGTGAAATTATGATTATACAATTATAAATCAAATGCATCAAAACAGCAGTAGTTCAAATCTGTATTACCCTATCAATTTGTGTTTGGATTGCCAGATGACTAAGGTGGTAAAATCATTAGCTGTTCCAAGGAACCCAAGTTCTTTTCATGGATGGTCTGTTCCAGATATATTGACCTCATCCCTCACCATTCCCATTATGATCCTGGCTAAACCTACAATGGCCTTTTAGTGCCTATCATGTGAAAAATATAGGAAAAAGTCCACAGGTAATAGCCATATTGAGTTGACTCTTTAAAATCAGTTGATTTTCATATATTTTTGTTACACGTAATTAATAATATATTTTTTTTGCTTCATTTTTGTTTATTTTATGCTGTGACCATCAGTGGCTAAGTGGATAAAACCAATGAACACTGGTAGTTTGTAATGGACTTGTGCACCTCACTAATAGGCTGGCCACAAAGATTTCTGCATTTTCATCATGTCTAACACTTAAATAGGGGGTCAATTTCTTTTTGGGAGACACACCCCTTGACAAATTACCTTATCTCATTAATCCTTATTTCACGCTTAAAGTTTTACTTAATATACATCAACTCAAAAAATAAAATTTGTTATAAAATTTTTTGATTTAAAACATGTATTGATATTTTTCTAAACTCACTGCATAACATTTTTATGTATATTTTTGATATTTTGATCAAAATCTGAAATATTTAACATTTTAAATATTTTAATGGTTATTTTACTGCCTGATAACATTTTTCTGTATTCCTCTCTACATATGCTGGAATTCTTTATGCACATATATTCTTAATTATCAGCTAAATGTGTTGCACTTTTCTTTTTTGCAGTATTGTAAATGTGTATAATTTCAAATATCTTTTAAAAAAAAAAATGCTAAAAATATCGGTTATTTTTTGCTATTTAAGGAAATAAGTTATATGTAGTACGAACGTTCATTTTTCTTTTTGCAAACGAGTAAAATTTGATCAGGTTACAGGCAAAGGTTGTAAAAACGTGTAGACCTTTAAGGCTTATCATGTTACATGAATATTAAAACGTATTAAAAATTTAAAAAAGATAAACTTAAAATATATAAAAGTTTATATAAGTTAATAGAAAAAAAAACCCTAACAAATTTTTGAAAAAGGAAACTCTTAATTACTAAACAAAAACTCGAAAAGATTTGCATCTGTACTTACAATAATAACCCAATACGACGTAATTAATACAGATTCGAATATAATTTATAGATTATGTTTTTATAAAAAAAAAAGAAGATTTTTAGCGGAAGTTCTAGCAGGTGCAATATTGTCCACTTTTCGCGTGTTCTGTGCCACACGTGTGTATGTTTATTTACACATGTCTACAGCAAGTTAGCTGGACGAGATGAATTTTGTGTATGCGCTGCAGACTGGTTAACTACATTGTAAATTATATTTTACTTGTACTGATATATTGCTAGGATAATTAGGTTTTTAACTGATACGAAGGATGAAGAATGATTTATCTTCAATATGACTGAAAGATATTTTTTACATTTAAGCCTTTATCGTGAAATTAATTATTAAATTTCGCCTAATTTTCATTTAAAATTCACTTTAATTTTTTAATTAATAATGAAAAAATTAAAGTAATATAATATTTAATAATCATAACTTTAATTTTTTTGTATATTCTATGAATAAATATAATTAGATTATTTTAATTACACTTGAAAGAAATTTTCCCTCCAATTCAATTATATCTCTAATTTTCTTCTATATATTGTTTAATAAATCTTCACTAAAGCTTTAAAAATTAAAAAATAAACTAAAAAATAATTAAAATTAAATTAATTTGAATAAATAACGCAATTAAAATTAATATTTAATTGTTTATTTTAAATCTAAAAATAAGCTCTTTTATTTAGGCTACGTTGAAACTATTCATGAAGAAATCTTATTAAACTATTCTAGAAATTTTTTATATAATTATTAAACTAAAGTTTATAATTAACAATAATTCTAAAAGAAATGCGAATAAGTTTTCAATGAAAGTAGACCGTATTTTGTATTTAATATAATACAAAATATGATCTACTTTTTAAACAAGAATAGACTCGTGAAAATTGAAAGTATTTAAGATTAACATAATATTTGATTTTAAAAAAAATAGCCTACTTAGGAACTTTATTATCATTAAAATATGTCGGTGAAGTTACTTAGGCCATTTATGAAGGCTAAAATTTAATTTTACTGTACTTTCAATGTTCCAAAATGGGGACAACATTGAACAGATTCAGTTGAAATTTTTTACTTTACTTCGAGACTTTTTCAATAATTAGATATTTTACGCAAATTATTTACCTTTAATTAAAACAAATATTAATTTAAAAAAGTTTAATATAGTTTTTCCAATGACCAAATTTATTAATATAACCTTGAACCTGATACATTAATTTTTTCATTATTATACAAACAGATATTATAATGACACACCGATTACTCATATAGAAAGTAAGTATAACCTATGACTGAGTTTCGAACACGGATCTTAACACGGATTTGTTTTCTTTCTTTTCATAGATTTTAATGCCTGTTAATTATTAATTTGTACATAATTAATCCATTTTAATTGCGGCAATTATTACGTTATGAATAATGGTATAACAAACTGTTTACGGGGTTGTTTAATATGAAAATAATTCTAACAGCCTTCGAAAACAAAGTGTAGAAAGCTTATGAACCGTAGACCAAAATGTATAATACGTTCTTTCATAATTGGTATAGAATAAAAAATGAAAAAACTTATAAGATGTTGACTAATCGTAGTTTCTGCACGTGGCTGTAAATAATACCAAGTAAAAGAAAAAAGAAAAATTAATGTCATTGGAAAGCAGACAGTTAATATTTCTTAGGCCTCAAATTATATCTATATTTAGTATTATTATTAAATAATGATTCGTTAAATAAGATTATTTAATGTATAAAAATATCATATGAACTAATTTCCTTTGACCGTCATTCAAACTTTTGTTTTTTTTCATAAAACAGACCCGAATATCAAACTTCAAATAATTTTATAAAGTTACTAAGACTATAAATTTTTAATTTAGACAGATAGAAAAAATTTTAATAGCTTGTCGGATTTATTACAGGTCTTAGATCTTCTATCGATTTGTAAACTCTACAAATGCCTGGTTAATACGTGGCTTTTTTTTAACGTATTAGTCAATATTATTCTAAGTTTAATAGAAATTTCTTGATAAAATTTTAAATAAAACAATATAATTTTTTTTTATTTTTTAAAAACATTTTCTAACATTAATTAAAGTGGTATGAGTGTAATTTTCGTAAACTAAATACAAGTTTATGTTTTTATTGTTTTGAAAGTTAGTAAATGAAATTTTTATAAAAATTTTAATTTTTCATAAAAGAATTTGTTGAAATTTGTGTAGTTCCGAAGAAAATCTGATCGTAAGTAAATGATATAAAAATGATCAAGCTAAAATATGCTTAATGATGCTAAATCTTTTCATTTGTTGTAATATAAACCTGTTTACATAGCATTTCGAAACACGAAAAGAATTCTACGTAAAAAATCATTATATAACATATAACCTTGACAAATTGTAAGATAAATTATTACAAACAATAGTCAAAGTAGATTTTAATTTCGATTCGAAAAGTCTAGATCTTTGTCGTTCCTAAAATAAAAAAGTGATTTTTTTCTAGCTCAGAATGCGCTTTATAAGTCTAAGTTTTGTATAACTGAATACGATGTATGTTCATAACGTCAATTAATAACCGAAGCGGAATTAGTAAAGTCGACAAATCCACAATTGACGTCAGGAAGTCTCAACCAATGAGCTTTGGAATAAAGGGAGCATTTTGATTTACGCGCTTCCTCCGAGACGTACTAGAAACAACAGTTTCATATCATATTACAGAAAGTGTCTTATTTGTTGGCGGCCGACCAGAGTGATGTGAGAGGCGTGGTATAATTGTTATCACACTGTCGACCTCATAGACAACGGATGGCTAGTCCAACCGAGACGTAAGGCGCGCATACTCCTCGCTGGAGGCCATGTTGGCTAGTCCCACCACTTCGGGTTCTTCTAGTACCCCTTTTTCAGTTAAAGACATTCTCAACCTGTCAGATCAAGGAGGATTCGATCCCCAGGCCTTTCTCCTACAGGCTCAAAACCTGGAGAAAGTGCTTTTTGATGAAACGGACGGATTAGGTTTACTTACCTCTACGTCACCTACTACACCATTTAGGGACTTCGTTTCTCAGGGCTATTCTACCACTCTTCAGTGTGGACAGCTTCCACCTCCTCAACCTCCGACTGCACCACCTTTGACATCACCTCACGTCCAGAGTTTATCCCATTTGTGTCCACCTTTTCCTGGTAATGGTGCTTCGAGAGACAACCAATATTACGGAGGTACCGTCGAACCTGCTCCTGCTTACTCACTTCCAAACTCGTCCATCCAACATCAAGCAGAGACAGCAGTCAATGAGAAAAGTAAGTAAAGCACAATCCACTTAGTCGAGAGCTCTCAAAACCAGAAAGAGGGTCGCGAGTAGATCCGAAAAAAGAAATCACTCGTATAATCTCAGCACGAGTCTACAATTAAGAGGCGAAAGGTTAAAGCCGAGTGGGCCTTAAATGTTGACGTAATGAGTTTTTGTTAAAAGGTAAACGATGATGATCTTGTCTGAGTAGTTCTACTTAAAGTGATGAAAATGTACTTTTAATTTAATTGATATTTTTTAATATATTGTTGAAATTATTATCTGCTCTTTCGACGTTTCTTTTATTTAATTTATTTCTAACATTCATTAATTTTATATTCTCCTATAGGCCTAATTTAAAATACATACACATTTAATTTACATAATACAAATTTGTAAGTTGACTAGTCGTTTAATAGTTTAGTTTTTTTAGAAACAAAAAAATATATATATATTTTGAAATTGAAACCAAGAGTAACACTTTTTTCTTACTTTTTCGACACTTTCATTTTTTATGGGGCCTTTAATTTTAAACAAACTGAAACAAAATCGTTAAAATTAATAAATTATCCGCTTAAGTTACGATTTCTTCACACATTTACAAACCTTATCTTAAGAATTTTAATTTCAGATAAAAGTTTTTTAGATGAAAAATGATAGGCTATTCATAGATTAGAGTTTATACTACTAAAGCGTGACCATTCTAAGAGTTTATTTCATTCTGTCCTCGATTTACTGATCCATATGAAAACTAATATAAAAATTTAATTTTAAATAATTTAAATTACTTAAAAAAATTCAATTGTGAGTAGGCAGTAGTCTATATTTTTAAAAGAAGAATGATATAAAGAATAGTACAAGGGAGCTTTTGAAAAAAATAATAAAAAAATAAGTCTGTAGTATTTTATGCTTTGTATTAGACGGAATGAAACGGTGCAGAAACAAACAGAAATCCACTTGAAAGGAACTTGTATATTTTGTTAGGTTTTACAAAGAAGAAACTGTTCGAAATTCATAGTTTACGATCCGCAGGGACTCATGCTCTGTAGTACACACAAGGGTTCTGTCTTTTATCCCCTCCGACTGTTTACTTCAATTAAAATGTAACTATAGATGTCTTCATCTATTTCGAATAATTGTGAAGTGAAATACTTAAGAAGTAACGTGTGCCAGCTCTTATAGTTTTCTCTACTTAAAATTATTGCCATTTGTAATTAGTAAAACTTACAGTTATGTTTTTTAATGTAGGTTTTTGTATTTTTGAATTGAATTATTCATTAAATGTCTTCAAATAAGTGTAAAATATAATTTTTTACATTGAAATTATCATGTATTAGATCTAATAATGGAAAAAAATAAGTAAATTGTCTCTTTTATAATAAGTTTTGCTTAATTATTTGCTAAATATTATTATATAGTTCTGTATCAGTTAAATTGTGTCTATATTAAACTCATTAAACATAAAATAACATTGGCCTATAACTGTGTGAGATCTAGATTTTTATACTTTAATAGACATAAATTTTTGGAACAAATTTTTAAAAAAATGCTTTGAATAAAACTCCAAAATTATCAGAATCCCCAATATTTTTGATCTAAAAAATATTATTACAATAAACTGTTTTATGATGATACCAAAAAATAAAAAAAGGGTTATAATAAGAATCCAAATTAGATGTAAAAAAAGCAAAATATTGAAAAATACAGTAGGACGGATGTACCCTTTATAAGACGCATCCACTCGTGGTTCAAGTGGCAGTCAGCGATTTTATTGACGGTTTAGTTGGCCAAGACATGACAGGATCATGTGTCACCTTATTATATGATCTGTGGGACAAAGTGATTCACTCTGCTTTAACTGCGCTTTCTTAATAGAAAGATTGGAACTATATAAGTAATTTTGTGCTATCAGAACTATGTAATGAAGTATCGACTAGAGTATTTTTTTTAATAATTAATGCTTTTCCATCCTTTAATAATAACCATAATAGCTTTAATTTAGAATATTTCCTTGGAAAAATTAGATCTAATACATATTTCATGTCTGTTATGTTTAAATTAGGCTAAACACACGCCTAAATTTTAAGATTGACTCTTGTGATATATTTAAAAATGCTTGTAAAGCTTTAAAAAATTAATTTTAGCATTTTATGTTATATTTATTATTTAAATTTCTATAAAAATTACCGTCATAACCGTCTACGAGGTTAAATTAAAACGATCAATTTAATAAAGATCAATAAAATTTATTGTTGAATCAGGCTATAAAAATTTCAGCTTTTTTTTTTATTATGAAAGGGAATTTGATTGAAGTTTATATGTAATATTTAACTTCTTTTAAACTCACAGATTAATATAGAAGCTATCAAATGAGTGTTATGACATCGGATTTTCTATTTGTAGTATGCATAAATACTCTTTCAGCTCATTAACTCATTAACATGAATACTGCTTTGTAAAAAATACCATAAAGCTTAAACTAATAACTCATTCAATTGCACATTATTTTCGCGTAATTTAATTTTAAATATATAATTTGAAGGAGTCAAAATAGTAATCTATATTAATGCTTTTTTATATATAAATGACAATTTTGGAATAAAGAATATTTCGCCTAAATTGTACTTAATAAAGCAATTCAAATGTTAATATAATCCGTGTTAAATTACTGTGTAGTAAAATATTTATTTATTTTAACTTTTTAACGGAAATGAAAAGTTATAAAATAAATTCATAGAGACGTTTATGTATCGGTAAACGTTTTTCCAAGCTTGAAAGTAAGGTAATCTTTGTTTCTTTATCCCCATAAAGAAGTTATGACCGAACTTGAATGCTGTAAAAATAAACTAAAGTGAACATTTCAAGCAATCTTGATGTTTATTAAACTACATTTAAAGGTAATTTCATAAAATGATTGACGTTGCTAAATGGGTTTTTTTCCTTTGTTGAAAAAAAAACTAAGTTGGTTTTTCTTTCTGCTTGCTATTAACACTCTATTCAATGTTGTTCATTATACTTAATAAAAATAGATCATACAGGAATACTTTTAAACATTTCTCGCTATAACATTACAAAAATTATAATTGGCCTATAGAATTTAATAGTTAAATATATTTTTATTAAGATATAAATTTATGTATATAAATGCATTATAAATATGCTTTTTGTAGGTCTCATAATAAAAAAATACATTAAAATTTTTAAAATATGTATAAATTTTATAAGCTTATTTATATATTCTTTATCAAGTACATATTTTCTCTGATAGATAAATTTTTATATTTTTTACAAGAATATTTAAAAATAAATCAGTTTTTTTTTTTTTNTTGTGTTAATTCACTTAGAAAAGGAAAATAATGTTAGGATAAACTTCCTGGATCTTTGCATAATAAGGAAACCACCAAGATTTATATTTAGTATTTACTGCAAACAACAGCACCCCTTATGTTACTGCCAGCAGCATCTTTCTAGTATTAATACAATACAGCTTGATCTTCACACCAAATGTTGAATATCAGGAAGGAAAAACACTTTAAGTAAGGCATTATTAACAGCCTTTTTATACTGCTAGCACTTCCAACGAATCTGATTGTTGTCTTCAGGTAAGTGAATATTTAAAAACAAACACAAATGTTCTAACGTGAGATGGAAATTACATAATTTATATATCATAAATATATATATATATATATTGAATAATCAATCACAGTTATTCTGAAATAATCTTTAAAATTATGAAAGCTAGAATAGAATTTGAATACCTCTAGCATATGAATCTTTAAGTAAATGTCAAATGTATCGTTTATATATAAGAAAATAAGTTGTTGTTGTTATTAATGTTTCTAATATTTTAATAAATTAATGACTAATTTACATTAGTTTTTCAATATTAATTTTTATCTTAAAATAATAAATAAAATGATTTAAAAAAATAGATAATTTTTTTCTAGGGAAAAAAGTACGAAACAGAATTTAAAAACATATTTCGTTTTTTCGTAAATATTTCAGGAAGAAAATGACGAACAATATCGAAATATTTATAAACTGCTTTAGTTGTTTATCTTTAAAATTATAAATTGTGAACTTTAATGGAGATTTTCTCAATTTTCAAGTTGTTATAAGTTTTATGAATCATTATAATATTGAATATTTTCAGACATTTATTTTATATTTATCATATATGTGATGAGCCAAAAATCAGAGCGCTAGATTATAAACAATAACTGAATCACAGTATTGTGGCTTTATCGCTTTATTTCATATAATTATGAGAACCGGGATTATATTAGGAAACATTTTGATGTTTAAAATGTTTTTAAAAAGTAATTTAGTTTAAAATATTATTTAATTTATTTGAAAAAGTAGAAAATTTTATCGAGTACATCATCTTTAACTTCCTCTGATTCACAGGAAAAGAAGAAAGTTCCTTCTAAAATGAAAGTTTTAGAAGTGAGAGAAACGAATCGTGGACACCCCTCATCGGTTCACTGATTTGGTATAAAATATGGAGGTCACCTTTTATCCAAGGTTTCCGTCGTGAATCTCATGTCGTTAGTCGTGCACTGTTTAATCATGTAAATAAGTTCCTTGTTGTTTCCACCTTACGTTTATTACATCGATCCCAATAAGGAAGAATGAAACAAGAAGTCTTCTCAATCAAAAGAAAAGGTTCTCGCAATACATCCCCAGACAACGAATGAAATAATTGTAAAACTCTCTCTACGCGAATAAATGTAAACTTTAAGATAGGATAGTTTAAGTTGTCGTACAATCCTTGTATCGAAATTTGGAACTTGTATAGTGTTATTTTTATATTAATTAATCAAGCATGCTATTTTGTTAATCTTTATCATTATTTTTCTTTGTACAAACAAATATAATGGTTTTATATTTTAAATTGGACTACGCCTACTTTCATTGCCGAACCGAAACTCTCACCCTATCACTCGGATAAACGTACTGTACCTTTAAATATCCTGAGTTAGGATGCGATTGATTTTTCTTCCTAACTAGTATCAGACTTCTGACGTTAAAAAGATCTTGTCGATGTTTGAAACAAAATAAAATTAGCCACCCTGAACAGTGAGCGAGGTTCCACCAGGCACGTAGTCTCACATTTGGTGTCTAGGAGTGGGTTTCACTGTCTCAACCCTGGATCGCACATTTTGATTATAGTGAGTGGGATCTCACAGTCCCCGATCTCACATAATTCTGTAAAACATAATAAATTTAATATACTGTGTTTTTTTAAACGTACATATCATGTAACAAATGTTTAAGATAGAAACTAAAATTATGTATTTAGTAAGTTTTCATATCTCTATTCTTGATATGGACTATTGTTAAAGATAATATGATAAAATTAGAGCTGACAATGAAAATCCTCCGTAAAAGTCGATGAATACTTTTTATGAAAGATTATCGTTTAATATTTGATGGTTTTCGTTGAAAAAATCGGCTTAGAAGCAATGAAAACAACTTTTCATTGCTTCTAAATAAATACAATATACTATAATTATCCTAATAAATTTTTTGATTTTTGTACAATATTTTCTGAAAACATTACTTTATCTCAATGTTATTGCTATATTTTAACTAAAAAGCTGAATTTGTATTATTTGCATAATGATTTCATTCGGAGATGAAGCTAACATTTCATATTTATAATCAAATAGTAAATATCATTCTTCTAAAAATAATTTGTGCTGATTTATCACAGTCTGTAATCGAAGTTTATAGGAATAATCTTTGTAATCATCTGTATTAAAAATGTTTCATGATTAAAGATAAATTAATATATAAATTATATCTTATCCATTTACATGTCAAAGAATATCACTGTTAAGTAAAAATTTACGTAATTAATTCAATAATTTAAGTTGATATTAAAAGCATTTAGATTAATGATAATGAATAAATGTTTATATTAATTATGTGATTTTAGTATAATATTTAGTTAATGATTACGTTTCTAATAATATTTGGCATTATTAAAAAGTGTCATCAACAAAAATCTTAAGATTTCTGACATGTTTGACTTTCTTTTATGAATTCAATTACAAGTATATTTTTTGGATTTTTCGAATTTGCTTTAAAATTGAATTGAATTGATGGAATAAGGCAACATAGCACGTGGACGATCTGCTCTGGGAATACTCAAAAGTTCAAAACCAGAAATTGTGAAGTAGCATTGTGATAAAAATTGATGAATACTCAACATTATATAGATAGTAGCTACTCTGANTAAATGTGATCTTTTCAAATTTATATGCTAAAAATTCAGATAAAACATGCTGTATGTATGTTTCACTCTTATATAAATCAACAGCCAGCATTGCACAGGTTTATAAGAGTGAAATTTAAAACACACAAAATTATTAATTTTATGAAAATACTGTTAAAAAGAAAAATATCTGAGTCCTTAGATGTAACAATTTGACTTAAATAGCAAAAAAATTTTTTACAGTATAACTTGGAAATGTATGGAGACATTTTTCTGGCATCACAAATTAGTCTATATTGTTAATGTTAATTACCCTTTGTTTACATACTTTAAGTTGTAAGAATGGGATCACTTTTAAGATAGTTCTTCAACATTATACAGTACATATACATATGAAATCTGATATTTTTCATTGTATTGCATTTTTATGTTTCCTCTTTTTTTATCTTTTGGTACTTCAACTGTGTACCTATACACACTTGAAACTTACATTTTTTTAAAATTTTATTTGTGGTTTTAGGCCCCTTACTGTTCAGAGAGCACGAAGAGGCCATTGAAACTTACATTGTAAATTAATAGTTAAAAACAACTAAGTATAGAATGGATATGAAAAAACAGGTAATTTTGTGATCGTCACAGTTCCTAAACTGACATAAGCAGAAACTATTTGAGTTATTAGATATGGAAAACCAAATACATATATAGTTCTTCACAGAATAATACTTTCAACTAAATGCATGTGCATGCCACATGTTACTCGTCACAGTAATGATATAGCACATCTATTACACATTATATCATTGTTGCAGTAAATATTAAATATAATACAGTAGAACCTCGATTATCCGGATTTTCGATTATCCGGATTGTTCAAAATAAACAAAAATTTTACAAATTTGCTGATTTGCACTTGGCGAATTATGATACTGTTTATGTACGTGATGGAATGAATAACTTTTTTGTTTTAACAACGTCTCACCCAGCACAGTGGTCGTAAACTCTTAAATATATTTTGTGTCATAATAAAAATATAACTTGACATACGTATTTATAAATAATTTATATTCAAATTACATCATTTCTATGACCAAGGGCGGCGTAAGGCATGGACGACGTGGGCCACCGCCTATGCCTCGCGGTCCGAAGGGCCTCGCGCCTCGAAGGTTTATGCATTACTTAAAAGCCGCGAACGCGACGAAAAAATTTTACTCGTCATAAAACGATAAATAGTTTGTCAAATTTTTATTCATAAAAATGCAGTTTCAACTGCTTTTTATTTTATAAAATCCGTCTTCTTGCGCCACCAGAGGGCCTTTTAAACAATAGGTAGTCTGTTAGCGTTGGTCAGTAGTAGTCCAAATTCAATACGAACGTTTGTTTCTTGAAAATTTGATCACGATTTAAATACAGTATTTACTTTTAATATTACCGATATGTCATCGAAAAGAAAACGTGTTGTATTATCATTAAAAGACAAATTAAAGTATTTGTTTCGATTATCCGGATTTTTCCTTATCCGGACTACCTTCATCCCCAATTAGTCCGGATAATCGAGGTTCTACTGTTTATATATTTTTAAAATTATATCCATTTTTGTATGAATTATATTTAATTTATTAGTTTTTAAAATTTATTACTATTTTTTATTTTATGCTAGAAATGTATACAGGTGGTACTAATCCGAAGGCAGGAAATCAGATGTATGGCATTATCTAAATTAAAAGTGTGTTAACAAAACTGCAAAGTTTCAGAGCAATTGATTGAACAGTCTAAGAGTGCATACTGAACAAACAAACAAACATTCTCATTTATATAGGTATATAATACAGATATAATTAAGTCACTTTATTTTGACTACTTTATATAATTTCAAAATATTCCACCAAAATTTTTTAAAATACATATTAACCAAAAAAGTTAATAGTTACAAATAAAAGCAAAAATTATATTTTTACCTATGTTATCAAAATTTCACAAGTCTATTTTTGTATTATTAAACTATTTTAAAAACAAATTTGTGTGCACAGAATCATTATTTATAAATTCAGTATGCAAGAAACTGCTGATTAAAGCAGTTGATAGCTGAAACTTCTAGATAAACTGATTATTGCTAATAAAATCATATTTTATACAAATTTTTTTGTAATTAAAATTTTTGTTTTTGTAAAAATTCTATTTATTAAAATAATTTCAAAATTGATAAAGTTACCAGAAGAAAAAGAATTATACAGAAATAATATGTATTTAGAAATTATCAAGTGAAATAAAAGATGTCTTGTTTAGCAAAAAGTTTTAATTTGAAATAATTAACACAATAGAGCTGGTTCTATTATGCCAAAATTTTAATAAAAACAGTCATATGACAGAAAGATTAGTTCTTAATAACCAAAAATCCAAAGCCAGAATTATTCAGAAATTTTTCAAAAATATCCTTATTAAATGCTGCAGTAAACTTATGCAAAGTAGCAACATGTAATCAACACATCCTGATTAACTTGGGTTCCACATTATCCAAGGTAAATCTTTGAATACACTACTTTTCTCATAATTTATAAAAGCTTTGCTACGAGTGCAAATACTACAGTACCTTTAACCTTGATTGTATCAAGCGAGTTTTCTTAAAACTCTTTTATGCTTTGTGAGCACTTTTTCTATGCCCATCACAGGTTCAATCAGATCCACAATGATGGTGACAAGATAGTGAGGATAGAACCCAGACTGCCCACGAAAAATGATGCTGAAGCAACCACATAACATTGCAGCAAAGAAGGGAGGAACCACTATAAAACAAAAACTCTACAGGACTTCTTAATAAAACTTTAAAACAATAACTTGTATTACAAAATTTATTTCCATTACCTTTTTTTCATTTGACTAAAGCGATGCCATATAATCTTTTACATTTATAATTTTTATTTCAAAATGGCTGTGGCCATCTGTTTTATTAAAGGTATCATCAGTCATATTTCCATGGATTAAAAAAAAATATTGTAAAACTCAAAGTTTCATAGCATCAATCATTCTAAGATATTTTAACTGAAACTCCAGAATTTTTTTTTTGAGTTCATGTGTTTGAAACTAAAGAAAACAAAATTCACGAGGGAAATGTGTCACATCTTGTCATAACTTGCTAGAATAGTGATTGCCTACACAAACTTTTTGTTCACGTCGCAGAAAAAGCTAAAAGAATAGACGGTTCCTCCTTGGTTTATGTAGACAATTTAATATTCCGATGCCACCTTCATTCATCCATATTACCTCATTCATTCCTGCATTGCTTACGACATTTTAGATGCATTGATCCCTCCATCCAATATTAAGTCATAAAACAAAATAAACATCAAACTGTGTATAATAATTCAATATGTAACAAAAATAAATCAATATTTTTTTCTGAACCTGTAGAAAATGACAAATTTTTTTAAAATTTCATATAATTTGTATTAATTTCTGTATTGATTACAAATTATATCATTAATATACTATTTTGATTAATAAAAGCGCAAATTTATCATTAAATAATTGTAATAATATTTCAAAAATGTAAGATTAAGATAAAACGGTGTTTAAATTATAAATACATTTATAAATTTATAAAACGATAGAAATATCAACACTCACTATAGCCGCCATTTTCTCTGCATAGAGTTAACAAGTAAAATCGAAATTTTCCAGCGATTAACACGCCACTACCGATAAAATGAAAAAGAAAAAACTATCGAATTGTTATATTTTTTTACACTAAAATTAATAAAATTTTTAATTTTGTCGTTTTTTAATTATTATTGTTAGTTTTTGAGAATTTTTTAAAAACAGATGAACTTTTTAGTGACAAACTGTACACAGCTCGAATGGCCGAGCGGTTAAAGTGACAGCCCACCGCTCTGAGGACCGCTCTGGACGGGTCGAAAAATCTTAGGAAATTTTTCATGGGCGGTCGATCCGGTTATGTCGAACACTTCTCTCACCCCAATGTGGGCCGCGCCGAATTCATATTGGGCTTGCTAAAACAAAGGCCATCTTAATGTCTTCAGGAAGGAATAATAAAATGACAAAAGCTAATAAGCAAACTAATAGCACAATCCCTTTCGCATGACGTGTACTATGCTATCAGTTTGCTTATTTAACTGCTTAGTACTTAATAGCAGCCATGATCTTTCGTGCTCATTATGAGTTCGGGTAGGCCTAGGCTTCCACAATGGGAGCGACTGAATGACAAGGAACGGAGCCTAACATTTCCGATTTACATTACTCCTAAAAATTTCTGTTGTTCCGACATAATTTTATGGTCGCGCGTAGGTTGCCATAAATTCAAAACCAGAAATAGGGACATTGTAAGTGATTTAGCATTGTAGTAAAAATTGATGGATACTCAGCATTAATTAGGTAGGCGGTAGTTCTCTAAAAAAACAAGCGAATATTAAACTGATTCTATTGAATCATCAATTATTGAACATTTTTATATTATTTNAATTTGCTTTAAAATTGAATTGAATTGATGGAATAAGGCAACATAGCACGTGGACGATCTGCTCTGGGAATACTCAAAAGTTCAAAACCAGAAATAGGGACATTGTAAGTGATTTAGCATTGTAGTAAAAATTGATGGATACTCAGCATTAATTAGGTAGGCGGTAGTTCTCTAAAAAAACAAGCGAATATTAAACTGATTCTATTGAATCATCAATTATTGAACATTTTTATATTATTTGTTGAATCAATCGTACTTATTTGACTTACAAGTTTTTGTCAGAAAATCTGGCTGTCCCCTATGTGGACCTCTCCGAATCCATGATAGATATGATTAAAAAACGAAGGTTCTCTTAGTGTTCCTTTACTCTTACAAAGAGAAAAGGGGGAAGCCAGACGTATTCATTCGAGCTTTATATAAATATACAATTTTAATAAAGTATTTCGCTGATGAATTATTAGGTTGGTTTACTTAAAAATTGTGACTTTACTTTAAAATATCAGTACCCTTCATTTTAAAGAAAATGTTAACTTATTTTAAAATTCAGTTTGTGATATAGATTTTGTCCAATTTGATGGTGTCTATTATTTAATTAAAAATCAATATATAAAATAAATTGCCGTTAGATACACTGGTCTTCCATAAAGTTTTATTGTTTTATAACTTTACCAACAATCTCCCTCATGGTACATAATTAACCTTCCACATAATTTATGGTACATAATTTAAGTAAATTGCTTTAGTTTTTCCTTTTACCATCAGAATAAGTTTTCTCTTCAATGAAAAAAGAGTACTATCTTTTGTACTCTTCTAAATAAGTTCTTTTATATGTACGTACACCATTGGCCAAATTCCAACAAAAATGCTCGTAAATGTACTAGAATTTTTACTTAATTAATATGAAAACTAATATATTTTTTAAAAATATTATTTAGTTTACAGTTAAATAAACAGTAAAATTGATTTAAAATATTGTTAATTAAGAAAAATAAATTAATTAATGGAGACGGTATTTAATTAATTTATTTTGTAGTGCCGATCTTCTTTAAGAACGAGCCTGTTACGTTCCGAAAGTCTGAAAAAAACCATGTGAAGATTTCAAAATAATTGGTTTTTTCGTTATGTCTTCTATTTATAAGTATTTTAGTAATTCTGCATTCTGGTTTTACTGTTTATACAAAAATATATTATTATACGTCATAAATTAATAATAAATACACAAAACATTGAGTATATTTGTTAAATTTCATAAAAATTGGTTTGTTTATAAACTTCACAAATGAACAAATAAGATTTCCTATATAAGTCCAAAATTTAACTTTTTCTTTTCGTGATCACCTAAAGAGGGGAGAAGAAAATTTCAAAAATTTCCTCTCACGTCTTTCGATTATTGAAAANTTATATTTATCATATATGTGATGAGCCAAAAATCAGAGCGCTAGATTATAAACAATAACTGAATCACAGTATTGTGGCTTTATCGCTTTATTTCATATAATTATGAGAACCGGGATTATATTAGGAAACATTTTGATGTTTAAAATGTTTTTAAAAAGTAATTTAGTTTAAAATATTATTTAATTTATTTGAAAAAGTAGAAAATTTTATCGATGTACTGTACATCATCTTTAACTTCCTCTGATTCACAGGAAAAGAGGAAAGTTCCTTCTAAAATGAAAGTTTTAGAAGTGAGAGAAACGAATCGTGGACACCCCTCATCGATTCACTGATTTGGTATAAAATATGGAGGTCACCTTTTATCCAAGGTTTCCGTCGTGAATCTCATGTCGTTAGTCGTGTACTGTTTAATCATGTAAATAAGTTCCTTGTTGTTTCCACCTTACGTTTATTACATCGATCCCAATAAGGAAGAATGAAACAAGAAGTCTTCTCAATCAAAAGAAAAGGTTCTCGCAATACATCCCCAGACAACGAATGAAATAATTGTAAAACTCTCTCTACGCGAATAAATGTAAACTTTAAGATAGGATAGTTTAAGTTGTCGTACAATCCTTGTATCGAAATTTGGAACTTGTATAGTGTTATTTTTATATTAATTAATCAAGCATGCTATTTTGTTAATCTTTATCATTATTTTTCTTTGTACAAACAAATATAATGGTTTTATATTTTAAATTGGACTACGCCTACTTTCATTGCCGAACCGAAACTCTCACCCTATCACTCGGATAAACGTACTGTACCTTTAAATATCCTGAGTTAGGATGCGATTGATTTTTCTTCCTAACTAGTATCAGACTTCTGACGTTAAAAAGATCTTGTCGATGTTTGAAACAAAATAAAATTAGCCACCCTGAACAGTGAGCGAGGTTCCACCAGGCACGTAGTCTCACATTTGGTGTCTAGGAGTGGGTTTCACTGTCTCAACCCTGGATCGCACATTTTGATTATAGTGAGTGGGATCTCACAGTCCCCGATCTCACATAATTCTGTAAAACATAATAAATTTAATATACTGTGTTTTTTTAAACGTACATATCATGTAACAAATGTTTAAGATAGAAACTAAAATTATGTATTTAGTAAGTTTTCATATCTCTATTCTTGATATGGACTATTGTTAAAGATAATATGATAAAATTAGAGCTGACAATGAAAATCCTCCGTAAAAGTCGATGAATACTTTTTATGAAAGATTATCGTTTAATATTTGATGGTTTTCGTTGAAAAAATCGGCTTAGAAGCAATGAAAACAACTTTTCATTGCTTCTAAATAAATACAATATACTATAATTATCCTAATAAATTTTTTGATTTTTGTACAATATTTTCTGAAAACATTACTTTATCTCAATGTTATTGCTATATTTTAACTAAAAAGCTGAATTTGTATTATTTGCATAATGATTTCATTCGGAGATGAAGCTAACATTTCATATTTATAATCAAATAGTAAATATCATTCTTCTAAAAATAATTTGTGCTGATTTATCACAGTCTGTAATCAAAGTTTATAGGAATAATCTTTGTAATCATCTGTATTAAAAATGTTTCATGATTAAAGATAAATTAATATATAAATTATATCTTATCCATTTACATGTCAAAGAATATCACTGTTAAGTAAAAATTTACGTAATTAATTCAATAATTTAAGTTGATATTAAAAGCATTTAGATTAATGATAATGAATAAATGTTTATATTAATTATGTGATTTTAGTATAATATTTAGTTAATGATTACGTTTCTAATAATATTTGGCATTATTAAAAAGTGTCATCAACAAAAATCTTAAGATTTCTGACATGTTTGACTTTCTTTTATGAATTCAATTACAAGTATATTTTTTGGATTTTTCGAATTTGCTTTAAAATTGAATTGAATTGATGGAATAAGGCAACATAGCACGTGGACGATCTGCTCTGGGAATACTCAAAAGTTCAAAACCAGAAATTGTGAAGTAGCATTGTGATAAAAATTGATGAATACTCAACATTATATAGATAGTAGCTACTCTGAAAAATAAGTGAATTATTCTAATAAAATTAATTTAATTGAATTATCAATTATTGAATATTTTTTACTATTTGTTACTATGTAACATATTTCAGCAAAGTTTTTGTTGGAAAACCCTTTTGTGGATCTGGACGGATTTATTATGGACATGATTAAATATATAGATCTTCAAAGTGCCAACATGATAAAAGAGCAAAAATAAAGAAAAAAAAAAAAAGATTATGACTAGATATAACCATTGATATAAATGATTATATGAAACCATTCGACTACCCTTTGATCACGCTAAGCGATAACATCATAAGTTGTCTTCTCATTATTACTATTTTCTGAAACACGTCTCACTTTCAGTTTCTCATCGAACACGCTTGTGGATTTCGTAATAAAATTTTTCCCTACTTTCAATGTGACTGTCTGACCTCGTTTTATCCCACTCAAAGAGATCAGAAACGAAATTCTTAGATACGAAGGGGCTAGTGGAGATGAGGGAAATTCTTAAAGCAGCAGAAACGGATGCTGCGATATTATTCAATGGCAACTGAAGCTGATGATGTACTATAACCCGGCAATTTGGAGAAAGATATATCTGATTTCACAATCTTCTTTATAAGAGAAAAAGAAAAAATATAGGCCTAAAGTAAATTATATTTATTAACTTTTATTTTTGATGTTGATGCTCTTGTAGAATAACACAATTTTTTAGGTGATAAAATTTGTGCTGTAATTTTTTCTTTTG